GAGTACTTGTCAAGATAGTACCAAAAATGAACATAGCAACTACGTGGATCCACTAGATAGTATTCCTGTGGGGGCAACATAGTTCAAGAACTAGGAGATATAGTTGGGACCTTCCTTATTCTACATGCATTAGAGTCTCCAATATTAATAATACATTAGTGATCCTACCTTCCCTATGTGGGAAGGGACACTCCTCACTCTAGTTCACTCGGTGCTAAGCTAGAGTCCCTTTTTGAAATATCTTTAATGCCTTTATTAATCATCATAGCTTTATGAAGGTCATAGGTTCTATACCTTGTAGCAACATCATCATCATAGCTTAATAAGAATTGCATGAGTATTTTCCTTTCATTACAATCCATATAAGTGAGGTTAGCACATTAACATATTCACATCATCTTTATGAACATTGGTAAATCATTACCATCCTTATAACATTTACATCTTAGCCAACACCTCACAATCCATAGTCAAGACATTTCAATTCAACATCATACCAACCCTATCAATCTTAATACAAGACATACTCCACTACAACATCATAATTTAATCACAATTAACCATACTTGAAGTAAAGAATAGGGATCACAAGACTTACCAAGTCTCCTTCATAATCCATCATCAAGGTCTTAAAACCAACCCTTAATACAACCCCATAAGGGTGCAATAATATCACACAAAAATAACCAACATGATAACAAGGCTAATTGAATCACTACATCACAATCCATCACTAGTTCATAGCTTAAGATAAGAGACTTAAGTCAAAGTCATAATCTAGACCAATTACTCAAGAAGTAGCATGATAGGACTATAATTTACCATAATATGTTCATAATTTACCATAATATGTTCATAATTATACAATATCATCATCTAATATTAATTCAACCAATAACCAATTCAATTGAGCCAACATTACACAATTCATATCAAAATCATAACCTAGGGTTAAGGGGAATAGGTCATCTTCTACAAACTAGAACAATCCATCAAGAAATAACATAAATGAGTTAAAATACATGTTAATATATTCATAATATCTAAAATAAATCATAAAAAAAGTAATTTAGAACATCAATTTTGTATTGGATGAAAACCCACTTGAAAACCCAACTTTTAAAATCAATTTGATGGAACCTTTTGAGGAAAGAGGTCTCAAAGGTGAAATGAATCCCATACCTTGTTGTTTAATGAATATTGATGGAGAAATCTTTGTAATTGCATCCCTAAAACCCACCTTGACCTTGTATTCTATGGAGTTCTTCAACTAGAGAGAGAAATAAGAGAAAAGAAGAGAATTTGGATTTATGACTTATGAGAGCTTAGGTTAGTCTAATTACTTAGGGTCTTTATATAGGTTGTTAACTAACTTAATCATACCTCACCTAACCCCTTATTAACCTCCTAACTAATCTAACTAATTAATTGACTTAAATAAAAAAACGTGCAGCAAAACAGACCCCTCACAGATGACACCACGATCAATGAATATTGTGTCCATCGATGGACACTATTCACCTCTGTGCTGCACATCCGTCGATGAGTTCAAAGACTTGTAAAAACATGCCTTGTACAAAAGTTCTAAGTGTCCATTGATTGGACCACGAGTCGTCTGTGGCACTTCATTGGTGACGCTGTCTATTGACAACTTTAAGTCACTTTCGCAAGTGTCCTCCTCAGGGGTCGTGCTCGTACGTTTCAAATATGAACTAACTCTAATACGTGTTAGTCACCCTTCCACCAAGTTTCATAATTTTTGACTCCTAAAAGCAAGTCAAATAGGCTAAGGCACGTTAATACCTCTTTGAACTAGTTTTCAGACGTCACGGACGTTCTTTGATGTTTTGATTCCTAGACTTCCTAAATGACCTTATACATTAAATTGACCTTAAAAAAGTGTTTAAACCTCTTGAAACTTATGTTAGGCTCTAGAATGTATCTTAGATTTTCGAAGTGTTACACATTGTCTATTCATCATCTGCGCATAAGGTTTGGGAAACATTCAAAGAAAAATTTGATAAGATCAATACGACAAGGATCTATCACACAAATAAGGAAATTGGGGATTTATCTCAAGGTACTAAAAGTGTGTCCTCTTATTTTTCATATCTAACTGATTTATAGGATGAATTTGAATCGATCATACCCAATCCTGGTGGTGATTGTCCTCGATCCAGACCTTTTATGGAGTATTTAGGTCTGCAAAAAACCATGAAATTTCTTATGGGGCTTAATGATGCATACTCTCCACAGAAGAGTCAAATCCTCATAGTGGATCCAACTCCTAGTCTCAATCAAGTTTATTCCATGATATTTCATGAGGAGAGTGAACGTCTAACTTTTCTTAGGAGCTTTGAGTAGTGGATCCATGGAAGGCTTAATCACAGCCAATGTTTCATGTTATAGATCTAATTCACTGAACATGTTAGTAATTTTGCCATAGACTCATTGATTATCCACCAAACTTTCAATTTACCAACAATCGATAGTCACAAGGTAATCCTAATAGCAACACTAGTTTTGGCAATTCATCCAATGCTGGGAATTCATTCAAGTGAGAGAATTATGGAAACAACAACCTTACAAGAAGGGGGATCACTCACAACAATGACAACAACAACACTACAAGCCAGGGGATAAATCACAACAATGGACAACCTTACAATAATGCAGGAAGCAAAGGAAAAAATCCAGTTTATGGAGGTAATGTTAATGCTGGTGGACCATCAGGCTACAATGCCAATTTTTCCAGTGGTGCTGCAACACAATCATCATCGCAATCCATTCCAGTAGTACAAACTTTCACTCCTGAACAATATCAATAGGTTCTGCACATGCTTGACAAATACAAGGAACCAACTGACTCAACTAACATGGAAGGTAAGCCTCTCATCAACCAGGATTATTGGATTGTGGATTCAGGTGCCACTAATCACATGACTTCATCTCTAAATCTGTTATCTGATCCTATTGTAATTTTTTCTCCTCAATGCGTACATTTATCTAATGGTGCTAGAACTACTATTATTCACACTGGCACTTCCACTCTTTCCACATCACAATCTATTCACAATGTCTTGTACATTGCTGATTTTTAATGTAATTTACTTGCAATTTCAAAAATCACCAAAGATCTACAATGTTTTGTTTCATTTTATCCTGATTTCTTCCTATTTCAGGACCTTTTGAGTGGTGTGGTGAAGGGGATTGGTAGACTACATGGAGGACTCTACATTGTCAATCATTCGACACTTGCTACCACATCTCATCATTGTCTATCTTCTGTTTCTACACCATCTCCATCATACACTGCACCAATATTTGATCTTCTATCACCGACATTTGATTCTACATTTTCACTTTGGCAAAATCAAATGGGACATGCTCCTTATTCAGTTTTGCAGAAGATCACTTCATTAAAGAAGCATGTAGTTCATCTTTGTGATTGCTTTGTATGTCCATTAGCCAAGCATCATATATTACCTTTTCCTAAAAGTACTAGTATGTGTAAGAATCCTTTTGAACTTGTTCACATTTACATTTGGGGTCTTTATCGAGTTTGTACTTTTAATGGTTTCAGACATTTTCTTACTCCTGTTGATGATTATACTTGAATGACATGGACCTATCTCTTGCATTTGAAAAGTGATTCATTTGTTATCATACAATCTTTCATTCAAACGGTGTATACTCAGTACTCAACTTCCATCAAACACATTAGGTCAGATAATGGTTTTGAATTTTTCAACCAGCATTGTTCTTCACTTTTTGTATCTAAAGGAATTATTCACCAAAGTAGTTGCGTCCACACACCACAAAAAAATGGTTTAGTTGAACGCAAACACAGACGTCTCCTTAAGGTTGCAAGGGACCTTAAGTTCCAAGCTCAAATTCCCTTAAAATACTGTGGAGATTGCCTTCTTACTTCTACATACCTCATCAATAGACTCCCTACTCAAGTGTTGTCTAGCAAAAGCCCTTTTGAATGCTTTCATGGACATAGTCCTTCTCTTGATCATATTCGAACCATGGTTGCCTATGTTATGACATTACACCTGATTACTCCAAAAAATTTTCCTCCAAATCCATCCCCACAATCTTTATGGGATACTCTCACACTCAGAACTGCTACAAGCTTCTTAATCTGGAAATTGGCACCTTTGCCAATAGAGATTTAATTTTCAAAGAGCATATCTCCCCATTCAAATATCCTAAGTTCCTATTTCTCAATTATTTATCAACATTATTGTCTGATAACAGTGATATTCCTTCTCTTCTTACTTTTCCTTCCCCCATACCCTCTAATATTCATTCTCCCATTAGTGCTGCACTCCCTTTACCTCCTAGTGTTACACTTCCAACTTTGTTATTCCTTACTTACCTATTACTCCTCCTATGAAATCTCCTAATTATTCTACCACTCCTGCATCACCATCCCCTCGTGCTTTAGCTCCTTTACTTCAAAGAAAATCCACTAGATCTTCTTAGCCTTCCATTTTGCTAACTGATCATGTTCATCCTCCTCTTCCTTCTTCTCATTCTTCTTTATATCCAATTGACCACTTTGTCTCTTAGTACTACTAGAAATTAGGCCTACGACAACAGATTTTTAGCAACACTTAAGCCACTGTTACTATGGAGGGTCTATTGCAACGATTTGAGCCGTTGTCAAAAGATTTGGATATTATTGCTACGACTAAGTAATAAATCCATTGTCATTGTGTGAAAACCGTTGCAATGGACCCTCTCTATTGCAATAGTTACTTTTATCATTGCCATAACGTAATCTATGACAACATTTACTGTGAATATTAGTCTATTAGAGCAATTATATAGTAAACCTCTCCATAATTTACATCTATTATTTTCGATGACCCCACCAAAACTTCTCATTTTATTTTATAATTAATTAATTTTTTTAAGTAAATCTTTTTACTCTTTATCGATATAAAGAGACAAACATTTGTTTATTTCCTTTCTCTTCCACAAGCATAATACAGGCATACTCATTTCCATCCCTCTTCTCTTTAACCTAATTTTTTTTATCTATATGTGGAGCTTAGCAGAAGAAGAACAATGGAAAATAGAAGTTGTAGAGCTTAGCATAAGCAGAACAATGGAAGATGGTAAGTTCTTCATGTTTGTGATTTTAGGCAAACATAAACCCATTTTTTTCTGAGTCTGAACTCGTTTCTTTCTTCAAACCTCCTGTGAAATCTAATGACATGGAGGGTTGTATGTTTTCTTTTAAAATCTAAGGAAATGGAGGTTTTATTCTTCAACTGTTGGAGGTTCTCTTCTTCAATCTTTGAGGTTACAGCTGAAGAAACTACAAGTTTGAACTTTTGAGGTTTTCTTCTTGTATATCTTCTTTTGTCTTTAATATGTGGGTGTGGTTAGTGTATGTGATGTATTTCTCTATTTGTGGGTTCTTTTTCATTGAGTTGTAGCTATTGTGGGTTTAATGTTTTGTTGGATATATGGTGAAATTGACTGCTCTAGACCTATTTAACTTGAAATTGATGTTGTATTTATTTTCCATAAGTTATTCCATCGAGCATGAATACCCTTGTATTGATGACATCTTCATTGATTTCACTTCTTACTTAGATTATTGTTGATGATTTAAGTTAGAGCAGAAAGAAACAAAACATAAATTAATATGAAAATCTAATAATCTAAAATTTGTTACTGGTTGGTACTGAATGTGTTACTGGTTCCAAATGTGCAAGGACTTTAATATTATGGTAAGTCTTCTTGTCTGTAATTTTAAGTTGAACTTTGGGCCTCTAATTTATTGGATTTCAAGTTGTAATTTTATGAGCAGTGCTACTGTTTCTGTTATGTTTTAATCTGATTTGAATAATGAACCAGTGATTTAACAGAGAAGTATTGGTAACAGTTCTCAAAAATGACTTCTTTGTGTGTATCTTTCTCTTCTCTGTATACATATGTTGCTTCACTAGTATTTAATTCACTTATTAGAATTTGATAATTATAGAGACAGACACTGAGTTTTGCTACTATTCTCGCTAGAAATTATTGTGAAATCGAAGGAAATAGAGGGCTGAAGGTTTACTTGTGAAATCTGAGAAATCTTGATGTTTTTTCTTCAACAACTGAAGATCTGTTCTGATATTTTTGAGGGTATAGCTGAAGAAACTTCAAATTTGAACTTTTGAGGTTTTGTTCTTGAATCTCTTCTTTGTCTTTAATATTTGGGTGTGGTTAGTGTATTTGATGTGTTTCTCTATTTATGGGTTGTCTTTCATTAAGTTGTAGCTGTTGTGGGTTTATTGTTTTGTTGTATTTACAATTAAATTGACTGCGCTAGGACTATTGAACTTGAAATTGATGTTGTATTTCTTGTCTATGTGTTATTCAATCGGGTTTAAATATCCTTGTATTGATGACGTCTTCATTGATTTCACCTCTCACTTATTGTTGAAGTAAGTTAGAGCGACAGGAAATAAGAGATAAATTAACATGAGAATGGAATAATTTAAAATTTGCTACTGTTGGGTACTAAAATGTGCTACTGTTTCCAAATGTGTTGGGAATTGAATATATAAGTAAGTTCTTCTTGTCTGTAATTTCAAGTTGAACTTTGGGCCTCTAATTTATTGGATTTCAAGTTAAAATTTTCTAAGCAGGGCTACTGTCTCTGTTGTGTTTTAATCTGATTTGAATAATAAATCAGTGATTTAACAAGACAAATTGGTAAATGTTCTAAAAAATGACTTCTTTGTGTGTATCTTTATTTTCTCTGTTTACATATGTTGTTTCATGGGTATTCAATTCAATTATCAAAATTAGAAAATTATAGAGATAGACGCAGAGTTTGGCTACTATTCTCTCTAGAAATTGTTGTGAAATCGAAGGAACTGGAGGGCTGAAGGTTTGCTTGTGTAATCTAAGAAATCTTGATATTTTTTTCTTCAAGTTATGAAATCTTTGAGGTTATAGATGAAGAAACTTCAAGTTTGAGCTGTTGAGGTTTCCTTCTTTAATATCTTCTTTTTCCTTTAATCGTTGAGGTATAGTTAGTGTATTTGATGTATATCTTTATTTGTGGGTTCTTTTTTCATTAAGTTTTAGCTATTGTGAGTTTAAAGTTTTATTGGTAGTAATGGTGAAATTGATTACTGTAGACATATTTCTCTTGATATTGATGTTGAATTTGTTATTCCATGAGTCATTCAATCAGTTTTGATTATCCTTGCATTGCTGATGTCTTCTTTTATTTCACCCTCGCTTGAGTAACTATTTGAGAAGTTTCGGTTTCATTAATGTTAAAGAGTTACATAGAGCAACAGAGAACAAGAGATACATTAGCATGAAAATGAGAAAAAATAATTTTCACTGTTGGTATTAGACAATTTGACATGAAAATCTGAAACATCCTAAAATTCTAGATCAATATTATTTGCGTTAAACTGAATTGTGATTACTATATATTTTATGCTACGTAATCTCCATGTACATTTTGAGATATGTTTGTTTCTCTGTAAAACATTGTTGTTGTATTTTATTTCATAGTTTATCATAAATTTGATTCTTTTTATCTTTTTTTGTCGCTAGATATCAATGGATAATTTAGATAGAAGTTGGATGAGTATGAGATGATGCAGTGATAAACATATTAGTGGAGTAAATGATTTTCTTGATAAGACATTTCAACGAGCTTCAAAAGGAAATAAAATATTATGCACTTGCAAAAATTGCATCAATCGTTATTGACATTACAGAAATGTGGTGGAGGATCACTTGATTGTAAATGGATTTATGGATGGATAGAACAAATGGATTTTTCACGGGAAGAGAGTTTCCTCACGAAATACACAAATTAATTATATCAAAAATTATTTTTCATTCCTAAACGTGATAGAGAAAGATATTCAAAGAGTTGGTACAAGAGTGATGAATAAAGAAAGTTTATCAATGGTTAATCATCTTAAAATCAATTGTAAGGAAAAATCAAGAGGACCTAAACTAATTTATTGAATTATGAGATATTATTTTTGATTAATTTGGTGAATTAACAATTTTATTTTAATGGTAATATTCATTCGAAGGTGATCAAAAATAGAGATGAAACATCAATTAACTTTTTTTAATGTTAATATTCAAACATCTACTTTAATTATTGCTCTTGCAAATTAAGTTACTTGATTAATTTTTTTAAAAGAATATTTAAAAGAAATAGAAAATAAAAAAATAAAAAAATGGAGTTATTTAGTTTTCTTTGAAAATTTAAATTTGGGAAAGAAGATGACTTGAAGGGGTGGGGGGTGGGGGTGCTCTTTTTATTTGGATTAAGAATTATTATTTTTAAAAATATTAAAAAATTATTTTAATTTATATAAATGTTAAGTGTCAATTAAAATAGAAAAAGTGTAAGTTTTTTTTTTGGAAAAACTAAAAATAAAACAGTATTTGAAAAACGCATAATCCATAAATGTGCCCTTAACTTGACTTCAAATCACATTTATGCCCTTCAACTTTGGATGTGCACAAATAGACATTTAAGCTTGTATAAAGTGAACAAATAGACACACATGTCCTACATGTCATTTTATAAATCCTACGTGGTGTCCTAAGTGTATTGTGCCATGTAGGACTCATGTGTTTATTTATTTAGAAGTTGGACAATTAAAGTGTCTTTTTGTGCATTATGAAAGTCGGAGGTCAAAGTTAAAATTTGAAGTTAAGTTTAAGGTCCAATATATGTATTATGCCTTTAAAAAACCTTCACGGGGCCCTTAGGAAGTGAAAGAAACTTCATCTTCCATATCAGCGTTTTGTGTTTAGTAGATAATTATTTGAACAATTTAAATGTTCAATAAGTAATAATCCTAGTTAAGGTATCTAAACGAAATATACGGACAATCTTAAAGGGCCGTGGATAACTTAAGCCTATTTTAAATGTATTTTTCAAATAATATATGTGGCAAGTGTGTTATTTTGAGAGTTAATCAACTTAAGTACATAATTTGAAAATAATATATATTATTTCTTATTCCAATTTACACGTGAGACTTGAGAAATTTGGAGAATAAATTAAATTTTGAATGTTATACGATAAGTTGTGATTTATAATATTCATAAAGTAATTTTTTAAATAATATATATTACTTCCATTATCTCAATATATATGGCACGCGTGAAATATGGAGAGTTAATCACATTTTTAATAATTTATTTTTAAAGACTTGTTTTAGAATACAAATTTGAAATTCGTCTTTTATTTTTCAAACTCTTATATCTAGTCAAATAATGTTTCTAAAATTGGAATGAACATAGTATTAAATGTAAAATTTAGATTTTTCATTAATTAGATCAATTTTTTTTATATTTCTCAATAATCATAATTATAATAATTTACATTTCTCATTAATTATCAAGTATAAGATGTTGAAATAAATAGTAGCAAAGTAAGATAATGAAGGAATAAAGGATGCCTTTAAGTATCTTAAAAGGTACAAATATATAACTTTACTTACATAAAAGTACAAAACAACTAAAGTAATAAAATACAACATTAAGGGAAAAATATAAATTGGAAAAGTACCGCAAAACATTTAAAAAATCACCAACATATGGCTTTATTATAAGACAAGTGAAATAATAACTATTTATACAAGTATGGAAACCACACAACTGATACAAACGTGTCGACTATGAAAGTGTGTGGTTTTATATTGTTAACTATCACAATTCGTTAATGAGTGACATATCCCGATGAAAGAGTCATGATTTTCATTAATGGTATCCAATATTCAACAAAGGAAGAAACCAAAAAATTCAACATCTTAAAGAAACAATCAAGAGATTAGAAGTGTGCTATCTATCTAAAAACTTAAGCTTGTAAACAAGGTGACCACACAATTTGATATTGCACCACGACAAATAAAGGTCTTGGAATCAAGTCTCACTGGCCAACTTCCGTGAGCAAATTTATTTTTTATGTGCTTGACGCATAAAATGGATTCAAGTTTGCATGTGATCAACAGGGCGTGTTAAAGGCATAATTTAGTAATTAGACAAGTGTTTTCTTGAATGACTTGTACTTATAGATGAGATAATAAGAACTTAGGTCCAATGTTTGCAACATATCCTCACTACATGAACCTAGCAAGATCAAGTAGAACCCAAATCTCCGTATTTTGTCAAAATCGTTCATTATTACAACTTAAAAATTAAAAACAAATTCAACTAAAAAGCGGAGCCTCTCGAGGCTAATGAAAACATCTCTTCTGTGATTCACACTTTCACAATGTTCTTCATGCAACAACATGCATATGAAGTTTTATCTACAAACTATCCCTACAACTGTCAGGACAATCACTCGAAATAATGGTCTCTATTATGTAAAGGAATTAAAGCCCTGCACACACACCTCTATTGCGAGTCTTACACACCAGGGCATCACAAAGACATGGCATTAACAAACTTCTCTAACTTCAGTTCCAAATCAACATTTCCTTCTACTTCACTATGAAAGCCACTTCCACGAGTTCTTTCTCGATCAACCTGCACCTTTGTAGATTGGATGAATCCAAGGATGGGTTGTTAAAGTGATATGCTTAGACCTGAATGACGCATATGCTCTACAGCAGCTACCTGTGAATTAAACACATTTATAAGGTAGTGAAACCGAGATCAAAAGGTTGAGTACATGATCAAGAGTATAAATACTAAAGTCCTTTAGTCTCACCCAATAGGGAACATAGTCGACCAGTTTAAGGCATTGTGGGGATGAATCATTTAAAGAACATCGATTTACTTCTCCGAAATGTGGCAAAGTTGTTGCTAGAGGAGCTAATATCATAAAATTTCCATTGAGAGCTTTTGACTTTGAGATAAATTCTCTATAAAAATGCCAAATGATTAGATATTATTAGTCTCTCTAGTATTAGAACTAAGTGATTTCTAGGTAAGAAATAGAACCTTTTAAGCACATTTCCCTCTTCTACATTGACTGAGCACTTGTTGCTGTAAGAAGTGAATTTGTTTGGTCTGGATATAGGAGCAGCACAACACTTTTTGCATCAAAATGATAGGTTAGGCGGGGATCCTGGAGAAAACGGATATGTCCTTTTCACACCAGCCATCTATATTACATCACCAACAAAACAAAATATAGCTATTCAGAAAAATAGACATCAAATTTATGATCATACACATAATACCATTTTTTTAAAATCTAGCTACATAAGGTACTCAATCTGCCCATTATCTTGAAACCAGGGGATCAAGCATATAAATAGTACTCTATGTTTCAATTTGTTTGTTTGCTTCTGACTTGAGACGAGTCTAAGGATATGCAGAATGTAATAAAATGACCTTTAATCTTATAGTCTTAAATATAAGTCAAGTATGAAAAGGTTAAATGAAAGAGTTGACGAATTTTCTTTTTTTCGAATCGAACTAAAAAGAAAAGTAAGACAAATAAATTAAAATAGGGGGACTATTAGTATATGGAACAAAGAAGATTTATTCATTTTTATCAAACAAACTAATAGAATTACCTTAGCTACTTCAGGCAAATGAGGTGAATATTTATAGCCATAATAAATTTTGTTTGAAGGGGGCTCCATTTGAAAACTTTGTAGAGGTGATGAGATATTCAACTACAATTTCCACCAAAGCAATTCAACACAAGAAAAAATAAAAACTTCCTAATATATATATAACAACAATAAAATATCAAGTATAATCACATAAGTGAGATTAGGGGAGGGCGACTGTACATAGCTTATACCATTCTTGTGAAAGTAGAGAGACCATTTCTGATAGACCCTCAGATTGAGTAACCATATCAAAAATCATGTATGACAAATACAATAGCAATGAAGACATGTAGCAACTAAAAAAACATAAACAACCAATAACACCCAAATTCCCGACAGACTTACATTGGTAGGTTAAACGCTCCCTTACAAGGGTGGCTTCATACCCAAGACTCTAACTCGAGAAAACTTATTAACTATACATGAAGGGTAGTCCAGTGCATTAAACTTCCGCTATCTAGAACCTGGAAAAGGACCTAACTACAAAGGTTCATTCTACACAACTTTACCCTGCATTTTTGGAAGCGGCCCTATGACAACAGCTTTACGTTACGCCAAGGCTCCCCATCTAGTCAAGTACAAAGGAATACTTAAAAATTTAAGAAGCTGACTTACAATTGGTGTAGAACTTACAAAGCAAAAACCAGGTATTCATTTTTATGAAAATTTCTCTCCAGTTGCTCGTCTTGAGACAATTAGAACTGTAATTGTTGTTCTGCACAATAGAAATGGAAGATATTTCAAGTTGATGTTAAATCAACATTTCTGAATGGAAAACTTGATGAAGAGATTTATGTTGAGCAACCTCAAGGATTTTTTGTTCAAGGGTGAAAAGAAAAGGTGTATAGACTTAAAAAAGCTCTTTACGGGCTGAAGCAAACTCCAAGAGCCTGGTACAATAAAATTGATACATACTTTCTGAAAAATAATTTTCAGAGAAGTAAAAGTGAAGCCACTTTGTATGTGAAGAAGGAACATGGCAGCATTATCATTGTTTGTCTCTATGTGGATGATTTTCTCTTTAGAGGAAATGATGTAAACATGATGCAAAATTTCAAACAGGATATGATGCAAGCTTATGGAATGAGTGATCTTGGATTGCTAAATTATTTCTTGGGCATCAAAGTTTCTCAAGTGAAAGAAGGAATTTTCATTTCTCAAAAGAAGTATACTAAAAGTACTCCTCAAAAATTCAAAATGATGGATTGCAGGTCTGTGGCCATACCATTAGCAATAAATG